ATATGGAAAAGGATATGTCCCAAGAATGCACCAAGATCGCCGAAGATTGGCACAAACGTGCCCCGAATTTGACCACCCACTGGAGCAAGCTCTCATAAGACAAAGCAACAAAAACGACAAAGAAAACTGTCAAGCCCTTTCTTACACTTGTCGGACCTCATTTTTCACGTGTTTTTGTGTTTTACACGCACTACGCAAAAGACCACCTGCCCAAGTCAATCGGCAAAGAAAAAAACAGCCAAGTGGACCAGCATGTCTGCAAAACAAGTGACATAACAGCAGCAAAGCCTTCAACATAGCCCTGATCTAGACCCCACGGCCCCAATCACTTCCAACATAAATCCACGAGAAGGCTCAAAGAGAGCCTCAACATTGGGCGAAACGCGCCAAGATGGAGAAGGATATGCCCCAGGAATGCCTGAAGATCGCCGAAGATTTGCACAAACCTGCCCTAAATTTGACCACCAACTGGAGCAAGCTTTCATAAGCAATAAAGCTCTCACAAACACATTTCTTGCACTTGTCCAAACCTTTGCGATGCTGGTTATGTTCCCTGGGGAAGACTGCAGTATTGACATCATGGGTGTGCTCGTCAGGAGCAAGCTTTCATACGCAAACAAACGATAAAAATAAGCTCTCAAAAACACCTTCCTTACACTTATGGGACCTCATTTTTTCATGGTTTTTACAGTGTTTTATGCACATTGCACTTCAAAGCCTTCGAATGCGAGATAACAAGATAAACCTCAAAAATTGCCTCCCGTGCAGGTAAAATGCAACTTTTTGAAGGTAAATAAGCTCAACACAAACCCATCCAAAGCCATTTTTTACTGTAAATTACAATGTTTTATGGACCTTTGAACATGCCTAAAAAAGCCCGCACGGTCTGCAAATCAGCTTGGCCCCCCCCCCCCCCCCCCCCCTTCCCTTTCGGTAATACTTCCAAGCGCTACAGCGCTTTCCGTCATCAGTCACAATCCCTTTTTGCCCTTGTGCCACCCTCAGCCGCGACGTTGACTCGTCTCAAGGACGGAGTTTCCGGGGTCAGGTCGCGGATGCGGCGTTGTATCCCGTGCTCTTCCGTCAGTACTTGGTTCAGCTGTGGCCAAACATGTCTGGAGGGATCTCTGGGCAAATCTTCGTTGCGGCGGTGACGCCCCTTGATCCGGATGACGCGGATCGCTTGGGTTTGTTCATGTCTAGCGTGGTGTGCTGAAACGATGAGACGCGGAAAGCTGGATGTAGCAAGAAACTGGATTCCCAATTGGAAGAGTTTTCTGCAGCCTTTGGATAACATTTGTTCCTTTTCTTTTGGTTTCAGTATCGTGCGGCTCAGTTGGTATATTATGGCATGCGCACTCCTTTTCCTCAAGACTTGTTCGGGCGAAGCCGGAACGAGGCTTCTCATGGGCGGCCTTAACTTTGCTGGTTTGAGCATCGTGGGCTGGGTTGTGCCTTGGTTTCACTATGTTTCACTATGTTTCACTGCTTCCGGGTGGACTTTAGAGGACTCATCCATTACCTGTGCACAGCAAGCGTGCCCAGACCCCTCCCCTTGGCGAAGCGTGGTGGTCCCATGCCGAAGCCAAATGGATGGATTTTTTGTTTGAGGGATGCTGTGCGAACTCCACTCCCAATCTTGTTCAAACGCAAGCCGCTCCATGTGTTAGCATGCGGTCGCCCTGGTGCTGGTGCCATGATTAAGCGGACAAGAGATGAGATGCAAAGAAATAGTGTGCAATAGTGTGCACGTTTCTTTGTAAAGCTGATTCGTAATTCAAGGACACCAGCATGCTCGATGAAAAACATTGAAGAACAACAGTTGGTTTGTTTGGGATGCACACCTTCATTTCTGCTGTTTGTTGTATTCTTGGCGTAGTCTCACTATTTTGCCTCCGATGACACCAAGATGTCATGTGCTCATTATGCACCATACTCCCAACTAGGTAGGTTGGCGGCCAGGCAGCCAACTTGGTGGGGTCCTGAATTGCTCAAAGTCAGATATGGACAAGGAGTGCAAATGTCTTGGCCTTGTCAATGTCTTTTTTGTTGCCTACGGGGGCCATTTCAACAATATTTTAGTTGGCCCTACTGGGGAGGATCATGGTGAGAAGCGGCCATTGCAAAAGTCTCTGAGGCGTTTCTCCTGGCAGGACTGACGGACAACCAATGCGGACCCATCATAGGAGGTGTGGCAGTGCTGGACAGATCTTACAAATTGATACAAATTGTTTGTTTTGGGGCGGCTGGATGTTGGGCATACCATCAATATACGTATAAGATCTTATAAGATATTATAAGTCTTGTTGGCGATTGAGACGTTTCACCGGTTGTCATGTTGTCAGCTTGGTGCTTTTGATGAGTTCTGGCAGGATTCGTTCTGTCGCCCTTTGTGTATATGGTTGTCGTGGGCGTCCCGCAGATCTCAATGACACGTTTGCTCGTCTCTCCGCCAGCTTCTTGGCACAGGTTCGAATCACGGGATATATGTCTTCCACAAAGGTGCCACCATGTTCCACCATCATGCTGCTCATGCAAGCACAGACTTTCCCATGACTTAGAGGTGTGTGGAGGCTTCAGCTCCCTGATTCCACATTATTTGTTGAAAGTTTTCTGTGATCTATAAATCCATTTCGCATGCGGACATAATTCCCTAGATCACCCCTTCAAAACGCGAACCCACACACCCCGGTTCTTGGATGTTCGTTTTGACACCTGGTGTTTCTCTGCCTCTCTCGGATCCATGACTTTCTTTCCACAACCCAATCCATTCCACTAGAATCCACTCCAACCTCGATGGCCTGGTCGATCGAGGTCTCTGAAGTGGCATGGTCCGACTTCCTGAACCTTGGGCGGGTACGTCGGACCGTGGAGTCTTCGGTTCGAGCAGCACGGGCAGCCCTCACGGGGGCGCCAGGCCCTAAGAGGGGGAGGCGAAGGGTGTTCGTTCTTTCTTTTTTGGGGGGGGTGTTACCAGGGTTACTATGTAGCTATATAGCAGTTTCTTGTTACTAGTAGCGATGGCCTCCAATTTTCCGATTTTCCGATTGGCTCAGGCTCCGCAGCTTTCGCGGGGGATGCCTTGATCCCTGGAAAATCCCTAAAGCACGATTGCTTCGAGATCTGTACCGTTGGTGAGAGCAGCCTTGTGCTGCTGGATCTTCTCCTCCACACGTTGCAAGCGGTGGGGAGTCATCTTGACACTTAGGCAGTGGGCCCAAAAAGTCGTCACCCGGGTCGTGGGGCGAACGTAATGCGTGGTGAGCTTGACCTGTTCGAGTTTGTGTATTCGAATGAGGAAGATGCGAAGCCAGCGCACTCTCTCTTGGATAGCAAATTGTCTAGCAGCCGTTTGGGACAACCATTCCCAGTCCGTGTACTTACGCTTGGGCTTGACACCTCCACTGTTGGTGGTCAAAACAAAATCAATGAGCACATACAGCCACGGGATGTGAACGACCGGAGCTTGTGCACTTTGGAAAGTTCTGGACCACTCGGCAACCATTTCCCACCCTTGGCCTACAAACTTATCTGTAGCAGTCTGCGGTCGGTCTGGCAGGAGGCCTAAAGTCACTTCTGTCAAGGGCAAAGGCGGGTTCTGGGGTGCATCCGGCGGTGGTTGTTCATCTTTGGTGCGTGTCACGGCCGCTTCACTGACCTGGATGATGGTCATGTGGATTTGATCCCGGAGCAAGGCTGCTGCCTCCAGATCAGCAACCGCTTGTTTCCACTTATGGAACACGTTATTTGGATGCATGGTGCTATGATGGGCACCATGATCGGCATTGTTGTTGCCGGTGAATATCCAGCGTTCTAACCAAGTGGCGTGATCAAGGCATTGGTGGCTGGCCACTTTATGGACCTGCACGAGATCAGGAGTGGCAATACGTGCTAATGCCGACAGCGGTGCCCACAGGTCTTGATCCTGTTGCGGCGTGGAGTGTTCCCCGGGTGAGCACAGACTTTTCGAGAGGTTATCGACAACTTGTGCATTATCACTCCAAAGCCTGACTGGGCTTCCTTGTGCAATTGCAAAACGAATGGCACTGGTTGCCGCGAGTATTTCAGCTCGGCCGCTGGTTTGTTTCCAGCCTGGGACAATGCCTTGGGCAATGGGCCACCACTGATCAGTGTCTTCGGGGTCAGCTGCAACGAGGCACCAACCTGCAACCCTTGTATACCTGCACGTAGGTCTGCAGCATGTACCGTCGACAAACACATCAATCGGCCGAAAAGGTGGCCAGTCAAAGTGGAAGGTCATGTCAGGTTGGTTGAGCAAAAGGGTGCGCAGTTCACGAACCGACTGTGGCAGACCTATCCATCCGTGATATGTGAGGCATTTCGGCAAACCTCCTGCCCGTACCTGCTCTGTCAGCCATGGGTAAGGCCGGTGTGCCTCGAAAACCGGGCATTCCCAGAAACGGTGGAACTGCGAATCGGAGGCGCCACAGAACTTACATATAGTGGTGTGTGCCTTGGCATTATGCTTCTGTGTATCAGCCGTGAAAAAGGTACCATTCAAGGCGATGCGGAGGAGGCCAAGTCTAGTCGCACTTAACGAAGAGCTTTTCTCAAGTGTAAAATGGGCACTAGCCCATTCGATCCCTTGGAATGACTTTCTGCGGGCGGCACATTGTTGGACATGCAATTGCCATCCGTCACAAAGGCGTTGGCAAACCTCAGCAGGGGCGCCCTGGAGTAGGTCAAGGGGTTGGTCCACGTGATCAAGGACCCATCCATGTCCGATCCATTGCCAACCTATTGAATGGAGCCTATCCAGCAGGACATGACACGGTCCTGGTCTCCGGGGGAGCTCTTGCCAATCCTTCAAGACATGGTCGATGATAATGTTAACCTTGTCATGGTCGGCGTGGCGCCGGAAAGTGAACACTGTGTGGACCAGTAAATGGCATCCTGGATCTGTCAGCGGGTGCTCTACCAAAGACAAATGTACCATAGGGCTGAGACCTGGGGCATGAATGCGAAGGCCACGACAAGCTCCCGTGCGTAAGGCGCGAATATGCGCTTCTCCTAATCCGGCCGAGGTCCCTGCGCTCAAGGCTTGCGGCCAGCCTTTCATGCGAATTGCACGCACCTTTTGTCGGTACGGTGCTGTGGAACGAGCCAGGGCTGCCCACACCTGTGGCATTTTACCTAAACGGTCTTGAAGGACATGATTAGTGGTTCTTCTCCCGTACTCCATGTGGGCTCCAAGATCTCTGCACGAAGATTGAAGAGGGTGATCAGCCTGGCGGGCTTGGCTTCTCTCCTCAGCCTGATTGGCCCAAAAATATGTTTTGGCGTCATCAAGCTGCAGATCAAGGAGGGCACAAAATTGTGTCATCAAGTCCAGACCTTGTTGGGCATCGGCCATGGTGCTTGCAGTAAGTTCGAGGTTATCAACATAGGACCAAAGGCGGACCGACGGGCACCGAAAGTACAGCCATCTAGACAAGGCAATGTTACAGATAAGCATTGCACTGCAGCTCAATCCGCAGCCCTCGGCGAACCCCGTGGACGATCGGATTGGTGGGCCTATGGTGCCCCGGACACTAAACGCTCTTTCCATCTGGTGGAGGGCCTGGGCCCATGCTCGAACGATGGGCCTGGGAAGGCCAAGGTGTACCCCAATTGCTAGGAGTGGCATCCGTGGGAGCAAGTTGTATGCCTTGACCAAATCTGCAACTACTCCTACTAGCGAGGATTGATCGCTGACCGAATCTTCAAGCATCAATTGGACCCCCAGCCACAGGTCAGTGCATGACTTCCCAGGGACATTACCATGGACTTGGTCTGGCACGAATTGGCTCAAGTAAGCCAGGGTTTCTCTGGCCCGGATCGACGACCAGGTCCTGTATACGATGGAGAAAACTGTCAGCGGTCGGTATTGGCTGGCCTTCCAGGCATCGGGAATCTTCTCAAGTGCATGGACATGTCCGGTGACGACCTGTTGGGGCCAATGCAAAGTCCCCTGCTCGATACTTGACAGGAGGTCTAAGATGGGCTCTACGTGACTCTTTGGGAGGGCAAGCAGGTCTGTTTTGGACACTCCGTCTGGACCAATGGCTGCTTTCGCTTTCTTCTTGCGAACTGCGTGTTGCCACATGTCGAAATCAACCGGTCGATACGGCATAGAGGGTGGATTCGGTATGGCTGCAGCAACAAATTGAACAATGGGGTCCCATTGTTCATCAGGGGTGTTGGCATGTCTATCCCACCGGGCACGCCATTCAGCGTGGAACGCTCGATAGATCTCTTCGAGATCAGTGACTGGTGTGGTTTGGACAAGCGTATCGCCTACTTGTGCATTGGGTGCACTGGCTAGCCATATCTTATCACTGTCATAATGGACTAAGGGGAGGGGTTGACCATTGTGTTCAATGGCCTGCTCAGGTCGAAAAGCATTAGCTGAATCGAGTGTGATGGAGCATTCCTCAAGGTCCACGTCGGTGACCATGGCTGTGCTATGGGCGAGCAACATTTGGACGGGTTCGGCATGATTGGTACGAAGGTCTTGGAAAATCTTATTGGGATTATCAAGTCGAGTCTGCTTCGCTGACCGGATGCGGGCCGTCAACAAGGTTTGCTCAAAGCTTTGCACATCCTGCTGGAAGTCAATGGCCAACAACCGCGCAAGTTCGCCGTCCGGCGGACATGTCGGAAAGCAGACTGGCAGTCCCAAGACATGCTTAGCTTTGGTCGTCCACCATTGGCCGAAATTCGGCGAGAAGCCGGGTGCCCGTGAGATTGCTCGCCACTGTCCTAACTTATGCTCTAGCCAGTGACTGGTGGGGCAGTGGTTCATATGATGCATTTGTGCATATGCTTGGCGGCGTCGAAGTTGCTTGATCCAGTGTACATGACTTCTATTTTGTCCATGATATGTTGGCTGGAACCCTCCTGGCCGCGTCGGTCGCAGTGGGACGAACTGTTCAGTAACCCAAGTGCGGGACATGGTGGCTCCCCTACCCAGTTGGGACCTATGGAGATTGTGCCCTGTTTGGCGGGCCCTAGTCACCATCTGAGTTTCGAAGGATTGCCAAACTGCCTGGTATTTGGAGTTGGCGTCCATCCCTTTGAGTGTGGGAGGGGTGAGCACATTTGGCTGCAAACATTGGTCACTAGTACCCTCACTGTCTATCTCAGCCCACGAAACTTGGCTGGGCTTTTTCCAAACGGGAACTTGGATCACAGGTGCATCCGGTTTCAACAACACAAAGACAATGGCGTGGTTGGCAACCCAATCCTCCTCAACATGAACAGATTGAACTCGTGTCAATAGCTCCGGGCTAAGAAACAACAAGTCCTTCGTGTGTTTCTGCTGAATGGTGGGCCGAATTTCTTGGCCGAAGCTTCTATGTGCATAATGTTGAACTTCTTCCCAGCCCTCATGTGTGAGGGTTTGCATTGTTGCCAGATCGTCATGGAAGTGGTTGAAGTCGCCTCCTATAAACCGGGGGCCATGTGCTTTGGTTCCGATGCGATCGACGATGTGGGAAAGCAGGTGGTTGTTGGCTTCTCTAGTCGGAACCCCTGTGCTATGGAAAGCATTTCCGTAAAAAGCCCCCCCCTTGAATCCAGTGTTTACCCATCTGGAACCCCGCAACGTGGCATCTTTGTTGGCTGGTCACTTCATGAGGCCAACTGTGCATGAGACTGCGACCGGGCACACTGGTCAAAAACCCTACCCCCCTCTCTTTGCCACGGACGGCAAGCAAGGATTGTGTTGCTACCTTCGGAGGAACAAAATCACCTGCAATGTATTTGAATGGACTACGAGAACAAGTTAAAGCTCGGCGGAACTGAGCGCACCCACTTTTTGTGAGATGTGATTCGGACACTGCCCAAATGGTGCCGTGGGAGCCAACCGGAAGTGAATTAATTAAATCGACCTTATTCAACAACCCCGTTG